GGGGGGGGGTGGGGTGTTTGGTTTGGTTGGTTTTTTTTTTTTTCATGATTTTTCAGACTTAAAATCATTTTTACATGTATGTAGTTCCCGATATTTGTACGTCTACTTTCTTTTCAGCGTTTACAAAGTACCTACAACTCTTCTACCATTTCAGTTGCCAGGCAATAGGCTGTACCAAAGTAACATAAAACTCCCATGAACACATAACGGCACAAATTCTGAAGAGACAGATGCTTCAGGGCAGTGAAGAACCATGAGATTACCGGACTGGAAACTTGCAATACATAAACTGATACAGTAAAACTGTTGAGGAAAAAAAAAAAAAGGGGGGGGGGGGGAATCCTGAGTTTTCAACTAGTTCAAAGCAAAATCCAAGGAGCCCAGCCAATCCTGGCTCCTTTCAAGTAAACAGGAACACGCCAGGCTGGCATGGTAATGCCACTGTTGAACAGCTCCTAAGCTGTTGACATCATTGCTGCCTCCCAATTTTTCTATACCTGTTTTTGAATTGAAGAAATTCAATTAGTCTTTCAATTTATCTTAACTGACATCAAAATAACATACTTCAATATAACCATGAGTTTTATAACAAGCTGACTGGAATAAAGGAAATAATGAGCACAAGTAATTGAAATTAAAATACCTGTTATTGAACAGTACACTACATGAGGAGCAATCTTTTTAATGTCTTCATAACCTAGACCCATTTCAGCCAGTTTCCCAGGGATGTAGTTTTCCACAAAAACATCAGACACCGCTGCAAGCTTTAGAAAAGAAAAGGATAAGTAAGATTTGTTAATGAGCTTCCAAAAGGCTGTGCTTTTGTCATATAGGTGAAGACTCTCTACTCCTCTGTTTTTCATATGATTCTAGATTCTGAGATTTGCCCTCTTTTACCTACATGGAATTTATGAGAGGCGGAAACAAAATTTATTCTAACCATGCTACCTTTCTTAATAAAAAAAGAATTTATAACCTTACTACTTTTCTTTGTAAGGCCTAGGCTCAGGACAAAATTCATATTTATATATGAGTAACTAGTGTCACAAACTTGAATTTCTTCTTGCTATCAATTACTTTGCAGACATGAATGTTACTTTTCATAGTAACAAATACATTGCTGAACAATGCTCAATTCTATACACATCTGTCCTGATGTTACCAGGAGACAGTTGCAAACAAAAGCCTGTTAGAGACAACTTCCCTCTACATATTCTTTTTGACAAAACTCCAAACAGAAGAAGTTGTATTCTGGTTCCATTTGAGATACAATATGGAATGTCAAGACCTCCGCACCAAATACTTCCAAAAACTATCATTCTAAATCAAGCAGAATGATGAACAACTCCACAAGTAGAGTCACATTTCAATAATGCCTTATCACTTCAGTTCATGGTGTTGCCATATCACAGATAGGGATGCCATTGATTTAAGGAACAGAAAGTTGTAGTGGTTATGAAATCAACTTTAATAAAGGATAGAAACTGTAAGAAACGACTTTGTCACAGAAGATCTCATTTCCACAGCTAGTGTGGTAAATATTTAACAGAATTAGTTCTCCCACTTGAAATTCCGTAACATCACATCTTAGGAAGTAATTCTCATACATGCTTGACCATTTCAGCAACATCAAGCTAAAGGAAAAATTAATATTGCTGCTGGCAGGAACCATTTGTCTGTAACATTAAGTACTCTCAGTGCCAGCTACCCTATCTTCAGCATCACAATAGCTCTGCATTACAGTGGTACAAGAGATCTTACCAGTAGGAAAAGGGTGGGAAGCCCCACCCTCAGCTGACAAAGGATGCTGCTCTTGCATGACAAATGAGGGAGAAGAAAGTTGCTGCTTTGATTTAAAAATTATGTGAGATTTGAACTCAGCCAGGCACCTCAGACTCAAGCACAAAGATATATTGCAAATTCTTAAGTCACCAGCCATAAAAAGGTTCTCCGTATTGCAGGCAGAAAGTTACACATTTAAAACCAGAATCAAGCAGTAATCTTCTTGCACAAACTTCACGATGAGAAAAGGGGAACTTCCTAACCACAAATAGTGGCAGTCACATAAGAAGCTTATGCTGAAGCCATCTTTTGTCCAGCTCATCCTGACTCATAGGCTCAGCTCCCTTTAACTCTTGAAACAGGTCCAGCCAACACACATGGAATCAGTAGACATTTTGCATAGAGTAGTTTTTCTTTCACCATTTTTAAAGGTCAAATAAGAAGCTAGTCTTCCTATGCTAGAGGAAGAATTTTTAGAGCCCTTACTTAAAGTGTGACTAGTTTATCCAAAAAAACACATCTGTGTTATACCATGCAAAATTATTCCAAATGACAGTGTTCATTTCCAAAACTTTTAGAAAATGAACATACAGCTTCATAACAAATCAACAATAAATGCTTGTGTTCTGCAAAGAGAAAAGGAACTGCAGAACCCTTGGCTTATAAACTCCAAAGATTTCCATTTTTTAGATAGCTGACAGGAAAGAAAAAAGGTCAAAAGTATCAGACAACTTAATCTATTTCCATTTCATGCAATCTTCCCAACAAAAACTACTAGCAGACAAATTCCACTTACTGTAGGAAACATACAGTCTCACTGTGAAAAAGTGATTGGAACTGATATTGAAACAAACAGTAACAGAAGCCAGCTCACTCTTAGATGTGTTAGAACCGCAGGGCTAAAAACACAGCACTAGCAAGTAGCAGGTTTTATGTTTCTCAATAAATAAAATAGGGATGACAAAACACAAGTTTCACAGAATGTGAAATGTGATGCTTTTATTAATTTTTCAATGGGAAAACGGATCACCCTTAAAAGACCCCTACATTCTGAATTCAAATACTGAAAAAAGAAACAAATACTAAGTTTGACCTACAGGACAGTATTTTTCAGAAAGATGCACGGCAACTGAAGTCATGAATACACTGTAACATTCAAAAACCTGCAAATACTGGAGCCCAGTATCTCCTCTTTCTAAACTGCTCACTGACTTCATCAGATCAGTCCAGCTTGAATATTTCTAATGAAGTAGTCCGGCAAGATCAAATACAGCAAAGTAAAAGCAAAGCACTAGGCCGTTAGACCTTTTCCTCACAATATTTCATTTGAAGCTTCTGTTGACTTTTTCATGTAAATTTTAGATATAAAGTCATTAGAAATTACACTGAACACTGAGTCCAAAAGCACAGAGTACAGAGGCTATATACAGTCATTTAACAAATTTACTGCACGTATACATATTTTTAATTATCAGATATTAACTTAATACTTGAAATGCAGAGTTTCTTCTTTATTACTCAGGATCAAAACAATACAAAATAGGCACAGTTTGCATGCTATCAAAACCTACCTCTCTGATTAGCTTTGCTCCTTTTGAATCCTTCATGTTGATAGCTATACTCTGGGGATAAAAAAAAAATACAACAGTAATTCCTGTGAAAGCCCTTCTGGTGATTATGAGCCTCTCCTGAACATAACCAACAGCCAAGTTTCACACTACAGCTAAATCAAATAAGTAAATTTGAACACACCCCCACCTCCCCCTGCAAAAAAAAAAAAAAAAAAAAAAATCTGTTGGTAAAGCAAGCTGAACTGTCTCAGCAGTGAAGCACCAAAACAAGTCTGACAGATGTGCAGCTGGGAGCTGCACTGCAGTCTGTTCACTGTGTGTTTGCACAGCATCTACTACTGCAAGTACACATGGGGACACCAGAAACATTTGTTTCGATGGCAACAAGCCATTAAACAGCTCAGGCACGTCACGAAGCTTCATCTTTAGCCAACCTAACTGTGGTATGATGCCTGCTCTCCTCCAGCTCCAGCTGCCAGCTGATGCAGGTCAGCTGAGCTGATGCACCTGAAAAAACTAATCCTTATGATCAAACAACCCTTACTTTCAGCAGAGTTCAATTTCAGACAATTTGCACCAGCAGCTGAGGACTGGCAGGACCACTCTTGCTTTTTGAATTTGCCTCAGCTGATCACAGCACCATACCAGACATTTGCACCCTTTTTTCTTCAAAAGAACTCTTTGGTTTTCTCCTGAAATTTATTCATCATAACTCAAGGCCAATGTAACTATTGCTCCATTATATATGTTAAGAATCAAAGAAGTGTTAAGTCTTCAGTCATAATTACAGAAAACATAGGCTGATGTTCAATACCACACTCCATTTACCTTTTTATTTCTATTGACGCTAAGAAAATAAATGCTTTCTGTTCCAGCAAAAGGTGGGCCCCAGGCTCTCGTATCATCACCAGCTCCTGAAAGAAAGGCCATCACATTTTCTTAGCTGTCCAATACCACACTGCCAACAAGTAAAAAGAATAAAAAGATTTCCTCCAACATCATATTTAAACCATCTAAGCCTCCTCTACCAGGCAGGACAAGAATTAGTTTAGTATGTATATTTTAGGATATTTATGTCAAAACACACACCTAAAAATGAACACAATTAAGCAAAGGGAACATAGTCTTTGCTGGCGCTGGGATTACTTTTAGGCTTTAAAATATTCATATACAGCCACACACCACCAATGTATTTGCAGGTTTTTTGGTTGGTTTTGTTTGTGGTTAGTTTTTGGGGGGGTTGATTGGTTTGGTTCAGGTTTTTTTTTTTTAATTTGTTTGTTTTGTTGGGTTGGGGGAAGCGGGGGGGATGTTGGTTTGTTAAATTTAAAGCCGAGCTACAACGCCATTCTTTTAAGCAATCCAGAAGAATTTAGTAGAAGCTCTCGCCCTGCACTGAGTCACACAGTGCACACGGTCAATAAGCTACTCGTGAAACACTCTGGACACGACATCAAGATACCACTGATCAGCAATAACTTGATCAGCTGCGTGCTGCAGAACCCCAACAAAAAGAAGCACTTGCTATAGCTGGTGTAATCGCCCACCTCCAGCCCTTCCAGAAATGCTCCTGCCTTACAGAAAGGTAAGATGGCATTAAAGCTGGTGCACACGCTGATGTCGCTGTATCATTTATGCTTAATTTACAATTTTAAACCTTTCTTAAATGTCACGAAGACCAGCAATCTATTTTAATTAGAATTAAAGTTAAATTTAAATTCAGATATAATAATCATCATCCCGATTGCTAGCAAGCATGCACATTCCTATATCTATTTCAATATCTAGACTTTATCTACTTGTTAACTTCACACAAGTGAAAACTTTCCTTAGTGAGGCAACAGAAGACTTTGATACTAGCATGCAAACAGAAGCAAGCTGAAGGAGCTTTGATCTCGTACAATATAACCACTGTCATAATTACGCTATGCCCTATGGTAACACAAAGTCCACAGCCATTTAAAAATCAACTGTGGTAGAAGTTATACAAACATATAAATTACTCATCAACATTTGTGTTGTTTATTATCTCAGAGAACTGTTTTGGTTCCAGCAGGAAGCTTGGGGAAAAAAAAAAAAAAACACACACACACAATCTCTCTTCTGTATGTTACCACTTCAAGCCATTCAAAACAGAACATTTCACTAACACTGCCCATGTAGGACACTAGTGTGGCTACTATCCTTTACAGATTAATACTCCTGTGAAAGTAGACATCCTCTCACAGAAAAAGCCAATTACTCACATTCTAAAATGTTTGAAATACAGAATTCTTAGGCCGCCCTCCTCCTTCAGTCACAAAACAAAACTCTAAGAGCTGGAATACAAATCTCCAAAACCATTACTTCATACTTAATCGCTGACACTGCTCCATTCCTACAACCTAGATACCTGGAATAATATCACTGTCGGTCTCATCTGATAGCACAAAACTGATGCAGCTTCTGTGCTGTCACAGAAGTGAAAACATTTGAAACAATGGTAAGCGATTAAGGATGACCCATAGGTTGATGTGACAACTTTTGTCAGACATTCAATGTTTTGTTAAATGTTCAAACATTCAATATTTCCTATTTAAAATATAATATAAGGAATGTAATATGTTCTATATCTCAAGTGTGTAATTATCTTCACCAGCTCTTTTCAAAACTAGTAATACCAAAAAACAGAAACTTAAAACATGGAAAGTTAAAGAATGAAAAAATACATGACATAATGTGCAGCTGCTAGGGCATAATTACATGCCTCAAATGCATAATGATGCACAAAATTGAAAGCCAAATGCAGAGAATGTTTCTAAAAAAGAATCAAATGCCATACAGTTTGTTAGTCTTCTCGTACGGTCTTACAAACTAAAGAGTGTAGCTATTCCATAAGAATGAAGCATATTTTATTACTGTTACCCAATCCTCAACATCTCTTGGAATAAGAAGTGCATGTGCTGAGTGGAAAAAGAAAACCATTGTGTTAAGCTAAAATACACAAAAATAAAATAAATTCTATTCATGAAGCTAATTACCCAGAGTCCAATCGGACTCAGAAGGAGCTACACAAGTTTCTGCATCTGAAAACACACACTCAAAGCTCGTTAACCTCAGACACTTTCAGCACTAGCATGAAGATTTTTGTGCAAATTCAGAAACCTCCCTTTTCCAATGAACTTTCATCTCTACCTATATAGGAATACAAGATTCTGGAGTTTAAAGATACAACTACCTCATGCAGAAAATAAGTTTTGTGCACTTTGCACAATTCCAAAAGAAAGATTTCTCTGACAAGGTATTTTTTAACTGATAACCTGAAACTGTACTGGACGATTAAAATTATTCTCAGGAGAAAGTTGATATAGTATGTCAAGTCATCTTATACTCTATCAGTCAAAATGCTTGCCAACCCCACTAGATCTGCATAATACTACACAAAAGCAATGCTAACAAACAAGATATATATTTTAAATGCTCATATTACCCTTCTTCCTTGTAATAATAATAATAGAAGGTGGAGTTTGCGTTTCCAAAATTAAAGTGCCTGCCATTTTATCAGTATTCTAATCCTGAGCAGCAAGATGTATTCCTATTTATATTATCCAAGACATTTTAGCTCAGAGGGAATTGAGCTGGAGATTCTGAACTCCCAAATGGGAAAAACACCTTTTCCACAATTTTTATGTAACTAATTGCTGGAAGGATTTGTGTGTTTGTCAAATTTTGCATTTCAAACACTAAATTTAAAACTCTGCTTTAACCCTCTTACCACTTCATGAAAAAACACCATACACCTAAGCATTCACAAGCCCAATTTAAAATCTAAGCAAAGTCCAAACAATTCAAACTATTTGGTTTTGAATGATGGAATAAGGCACTTCTTTAGTAAGTGATGACACAATACTGTTTTGCACACTAATATCTGAAAAAGTTACCTGACCTCACAACCTCACCCTTCTCACACTGTTTTCTAAATATAGACATAGACTACTTCTGATCAAAACACACAGACAGGGAGTACAGTGTTAAAAGCTAAAGCAAACAAATCATACATGTATAGGCAAACCTACTAATAAGTAGTTCTCTACCATGCCAGAAATAGTACGAGGATGTAAAATGCTCCCAAAACTTGAAAACTGCTGGCTCAAAAAAAAAATATAACTAACTTTGCAGCTATTTGTATTTCTTAGCACAATGCCATACACACACTGTCACCAAAAACACACCATCGTCAAATAAAAATAGCATTCTTTCTAAATATTTGCAAAAGTTTTCAATCTTGCATTCTCAGTCATGTATTACTTAAAATACATAAACAACTGTTTGTTAAACTACCCCACGTTCTCCTTATATCTAACATAGATAAATAAAAATCTTACCTGGTCTTTCCACTTTGATAACTTCAGCCCCTAGATCTCCTAAATTCATTGTGGCAAAGGGCCCTGCAAGCACCCTGTAATGTTAAAAAAAAGATCGTTTTCTTAGTTTTTCCCAATCAGAATATTTGCATCTCGACAGACTGTTCCAAATTACAGACAAAACACAAACCTGGTTAAATCAAGAATTTTCACACCATCCAATGGCTTTACATTACTAGCACCTGACAAGAAACAGAAAACAGTAACTTACTCCGGAATTTATTTTTTTTTTGTAAGGTATGTTTCTCATTGGTAGTCCGAAACATTGTTTTTATGACACTCTCCCATCATCCTCCCTCATCTCCCTCCCCGAGTACAGGATAATAAAGTTTTCTGCACGGGTAGGTTATTGGAGTATGTTATGTTAGTAAAGCCTTTCAAAGTTGGAAAACCTTATGGTTAACATTGCAGAACCTATTCTGAACACCAAGCAATTCTACAAGAAAGCTACTTTTCAGAGATATTTTTATATGTGCCTTCCACAAACACTCATATAGCTTTTAAAGACTAATCTGAATAAAGATACAATAAAAGCATAGCAAGCAACATGAGAATGACACAAACTAAAACTAACGGGTAGCAGACCAACATGAAGCGCAGTATCCTCACAAAGTGTTTTGACCTGTGCAGACACATGCACTTGCATCACACACACAAAAAAGAACAACTGCATTTCAAAAAAGAGGTTACAAAACTGAAGATAGAATATATGAACCAAGGAAATACTCATTCCATCTTTAACTTTCAATGGCAGTAGCACACGCAAGATAACTACGAGGAACTCACAATGCTTTCCTCCTTTCCCTCACCCTTTCCAACCTGCCTAGCTCTAAGAAAGAACAGCAGTGGCAATAAGCGCCACAGGCAGAGCAAGCAAACTCATAGGTCTGCATAGGTTTGCCAGCTCTCTCTTGGGTGACCTTGGGTTATCTTCTGCTAATTCAGTGTCTTTAATTGCAGACTGGGGACGCAAACACTTCACTATCTCGCGCAGATGGTAATTTCATTACTGTTTGGAAGGTGGCCTCGTACCACAAAGAAAAAAAAA